GACCAATCAGGAGGTGTTGCATTGCACCATCTTTCGGGGTTGTTTATAAAAGTTGTGACAAATCGACCTTACGCAAGATGTAAGGGGGGGGGGGAGTAGGCAGCAGGCACCATTCGACAAATAGCATTCCAGTCCCACTCACGTCTTTATAAAACCCTTTATAAAAAGATATGTAATGGTTAAGATTTTTCTTCCCCGTAAGGTGATTCCATCTCGCTCGCTTACTCAGTTTCGGTCGCCCGTTGCATGCATGTTGCAACCTGGGTACGCCTTATCCATGCACTCCTACCGAAGCGAGTTTATAAATCAGCTCATTTCCAAGGTCTGCATGTTTGGCAATGACAGCAAGAGACCATTATTATTGCAGACAGTTTGATTCTTTATGAGTGTTATCACATATACCTTTATTTATGAAGTATATTTCCTGTATTTACAATGTTTACAATTTCCTTTCTTTTCTTAAGTACTACGATCGTCTGATGAATCCACCGGCGATACCCGAAGGCTTTGTCGAAATTCCACGTCGCGTCGTGTGTTGGAGAGACGCGTGTGTTTGCTTCTTCAAGGGAGGTTTCTTGTCTACTATTTATGTGCCTGATCGCGAAGAGTATTTTGTGTGTTTTTTTTTTTTTGTAGTAATGTGTAGAGTGTGGCTTTCAGAGTCTCTAGCCCCAGGAGTGTTTTGTTTGTGAGTTCTTGTAGGCAGAGGTTGATTGGATTAATTAGTTCGTATAAAATGTTCTCAGGGGAATGTTTGGATATCTAACATCTGTTGTCCACATCAGTGTTTGGTTCTGAACTTCTTGTAGTTGAGGAGTCTGATGTTTGATGGTGTGTTTAGAGGAATCGATGGGTCTTTTAGAGTGGGTCTTATTAGCCTTCGGTATAACTCTATTGATACTTTTTTTCTCGCGGCCTCTTGTGAAGCGTTTGCATTTCGTGAGAGTGATCTTTGCTTGTATTGGCCTCTGTTTGGGTTGGTTTGCGTGCAGTTATGGTAAGACCGAGGAAAGCTGCCGCGTTGTGATGAATTTATTTCGTAGCGGTTGTTTATCATCAGCGTGGGATGTTATGCTGTTATTTTGGAATTTAGGATTTGTTTGAATCGATACTCGGGATAGGAATTGGTGCGCTCGCTCTTGGCGTTTTTGCTACCGTGATGTGAGCTGGCACGTCTGTGTGACTTATATGGTTCGAATTCGATATTGGTGTTGGAACATGTGTGAATAATAGATGCTGAAAATCGTGGGTGAAATGAAGCTCCCGTCTAATACCCAGTTTCTTAGGTCGAAGGGATGTCTTTATTATTATTATTATTATTATTATTATTATTATTATTATTATTATTATTATTATTATTATTATTATTATTATTATTATTATTATTATTATTATTATTATTATTATTATTATTATTATTATTATTATTATTATTATTATTATTATTATTATTATTATTATTATTATTATTATTATTATTATTATTATTATTATTATTATTATTATTATTATTATTATTATTATTATTATTATTATTATTATTATTATTATTATTATTATTATTATTATTATTATTATTATTATTATTATTATTATTATTATTATTATTATTATTATTATTATTATTATTATTATTATTATTATTATTATTATTATTATTATTATTATTATTATTATTATTATTATTATTATTATTATTATTATTATTATTATTATTATTATTATTATTATTATTATTATTATTATTATTATTATTATTATTATTATTATTATTATTATTATTATTATTATTATTATTATTATTATTATTATTATTATTATTATTATTATTATTATTATTATTATTATTATTATTATTATTATTATTATTATTATTATTATTATTATTATTATTATTATTATTATTATTATTATTATTATTATTATTATTATTATTATTATTATTATTATTATTATTATTATTATTATTATTATTATTATTATTATTATTATTATTATTATTATTATTATTATTATTATTATTATTATTATTATTATTATTATTATTATTATTATTATTATTATTATTATTATTATTATTATTATTATTATTATTATTATTATTATTATTATTATTATTATTATTATTATTATTATTATTATTATTATTATTATTATTATTATTATTATTATTATTATTATTATTATTATTATTATTATTATTATTATTATTATTATTATTATTATTATTATTATTATTATTATTATTATTATTATTATTATTATTATTATTATTATTATTATTATTATTATTATTATTATTATTATTATTATTATTATTATTATTATTATTATTATTATTATTATTATTATTATTATTATTATTATTATTATTATTATTATTATTATTATTATTATTATTATTATTATTATTATTATTATTATTATTATTATTATTATTATTATTATTATTATTATTATTATTATTATTATTATTATTATTATTATTATTATTATTATTATTATTATTATTATTATTATTATTATTATTATTATTATTATTATTATTATTATTATTATTATTATTATTATTATTATTATTATTATTATTATTATTATTATTATTATTATTATTATTATTATTATTATTATTATTATTATTATTATTATTATTATTATTATTATTATTATTATTATTATTATTATTATTATTATTATTATTATTATTATTATTATTATTATTATTATTATTATTATTATTATTATTATTATTATTATTATTATTATTATTATTATTATTAACATTATTATTATTATTATAATTTTTGTTATTA